ATGTATATATATATATATATATATATATATATAATACTTGGGGAGAGATAATATGAAAAAAATATTTATATTTAAAAAATATATTTATTTTTGTTTAGTTTTTAGTTATGATACACCCAAAATATTTCCGCATGAATCCGCAGATTGTTTTAGTAAATAACAAAAACCGTCCGCAGATTCTGTCAGGCCCTAGTAATCAGCCATAAAGTGAAGTGCAGTAACTCCATATTTGGTCAATATTGAGTTAAAGGGACAGTTCACCCAAAAATTCAACTTCTGTCATGATTTACTCACCCTTTTACCAGTATCAAAATCTTTAAGAGTCTCTTTCTTCTGCTAAACACAAAAGAAGATATTTAGAAAAATGGAACCTGTAGCATTGACTTTCATAGTCTTTGTATTTCCTACAATGTTAGTCAATGGTTACAGGTTTTCAGCATTCTTCAAAATATCTTCTTTTGTTTGCAACAGAACAAAGAAACTATAAAGGTTTAGAATCACTTGAGAGAGTGTAAATAGTGAGTAAATATTAATTTTTTGGGTAAACTAACCCTTTAATGATTAAAAATAACATGTCAAATGTATTTTAACAACATTCATACAGATATAATACTATTTTATTGATAAAATACTAATAAGTGGGCTATAAAAAGACTAAAATGATTGATTTAAAGTCAGTTTTTATTCATTAGATTAAAAATATGTGATGCTTTGTCTAGAAATAGTCTGTATTAATGCACCAATTTAAGTTTTAATTAAAAGGGGTCCAGCTCTGCTTGCAGTTTAGCAGTGCATCAATCTTTTCTTCATCAGAACTGCCTGAATGCATCTATTTAAATGTTTATTCTGTTTCTTTTTATGTATTAATTCTGCTTGTAACTCACCTGTCAGGAAACGAGCTTTCGGCGGTTGACAGTGCTGAAGTGCGCTCGAGCGTCCATTACCTCCACATCATTGACAATCAGCAGACTCTGTTTGAGCTCTCGCACAGACTGGAGCCCAGAGTCTGAAAGAGGAGAGAGATGGGAGACAAGAAAGAAGGACAAACTGATGCTTTTAGAGTCTGAGAGAAAAGCAGAAAGGAGAGAGCGCCACCTGCTGGATGCTCAAATAGACACTGAAGAGAAAGAGAGAGAGAAACAGCACTCCCTACTGGACATTCACTTAACGGCTGAGCTGCTATTGGACAAAACAGCACCTTCACTGGACAAACTGACCAATCACAGCGGCCGCTCACTCGCCATTGGTGGATGCGTGTGTATTTATTCCAGCAGGCAAGCTCTTTCACAGCCAAATCAGCAGGAGGACAGTGAGAGCAGGCCGTTCTCCTATTGTTAATATTGTTTCTTAATGTCAGAAAAAAATCGATACAAGCTTCTCCTTTCCGCAGGGAGAGTGTGAACTTTTTCAGCATTGTTTTGTTGATGTTATTATCTTCTACCAGCACTCTGGAGCTCATATTTATATATGGATTGAACTCTTGTGATCGCTGGGGCTGGGCGATATCTTAACCAGATTATAATATAATTAATACTCATTCACTATTCTTTGATTTCGTAGGGGTCGCCACAGCAGAATGAACCGGCAATTACCGGCATATGTTTTATGTGGTGGATGCCCTTCTGGCTGCAACATATAATTAATATTTTAATACATTTAATTAATATTTGACTGTGTGCAGTTCATTTTAATATTTATATATTTGATAGAAATTAATTTAAAGGCTAATTTAATGTTGAAGGAACTGTAATTCACACCAAATAAACATCTTGCTATTCAAATTGTAAAGTAATATTGTAATATAACAGCAATATTTCTTAAGACTTAAGTCGATTCATTGAGCATGGATGTTTTGAATTGATTCACATAAGCGAATCAAATCAGTTGGTTTTACCACAAAAATTGTTTATTATTTTATACTGTTATTCAATTTTTGTAAAATAATATCAGATACAACAATGCATAGTTGTTATATAAATTAATTATTTTGTTTATTTATTTACTTTATTGCACTTTGTTCAATCAGTCAAAATGGTATGAACTGATTCACAGAAATGAATCAAATCATTTATTGTTTTATTCAATTTATTTTTATAAAATAAAATCCAATACAACAATACATTTTTATTAGCATTAAATACAATTTTTTAAGTTATTTTTGTCAATCTTATAAATATTTCTGCTTGATTTGTTCAATAAATCAAAATTGTTTGAATTGATTCACGGAAATGAATCAAACCTATTGCTTTTTACTACTATTTTTAAAATACAAGTCATCTATTGTTTTATTTAACAAATATTTTTATTTTTATAAATCCAAATCCAATTAAAAAATACATTATTATTAATATTAAATTAATATTTTTGTTTAACTGTTTTAATTTGTTCAATCAATCAAAACTGTATGAACTGAATCACCAAAATGAATCAAACCGCTTGCGTTTTACTTTCACTTTTAAAATAAAAGTCATCCATAAATTTATTCAGTCTAAAATAAAATCTAATAAACAAAACAATATTATTATTGTTAACTTCATATTTTAGTTAAATTATTGTATTTGATAAGTTTAATCAATCAATAGTATGAACTGATTCTCAAAAACGAATCAAACTACTTGAATTTTTCTCCAACTTAAATTTTTATTCAGTAATTTTATTTTTATAACATAAAATTCAATAAAACAATAAATTGTTATTAATATTCAATTCATATTTTACTTTAAATACTTTGTTAAGTTAAAACAGTTGAACAAGTTCAAAACAGTTTGAACTGATTAACCGAAATGAATCAAACAGCTTGCTTTTTACTCCTACTTTTAAAATAGGTCATCTATTATTTTATTTTATTTCTTATTTTTTATACAATAAAATCCAATAAAACAACACAGTATTTTTTATATTTTACTTTAATTATTTTGTTTGATTTGTTTAATCAATCAAAACAGTTTGAACTAATTCACCAAAATGAGAAGAAATGAATCAAACCGCATGCATTTTACTCCAACTAATAAAATAAAAGTCATCTATTATTTTATTTTATTAAATCCTATTATTTCATAAAATAAAATAAAATAAAACAATGGATTATTATTAATATTAAATTAATACTTTAGTTTAATTACTTTGTTTGTTTTGTTCAATCAATCAAAACAGTTTGAACTAATTCACCAAAATGAATCAAACCGCATGCATTTTACTCCTACTTTTAAAATAAAAGTCATCTGTTATTTTATTTTATTCTATTTTATCAAATAAAATCCAATAAAACAATACTTTATTATTATTATTATAAACTTCATATTTTAGTTCAGTTATTGTATTTGATAAGGTCAGTCAATCAAAACAGTATGAACTGATTAAAAGAAAAGAATCAAACTACTTGCATTTTTCTCCACCTTATTTTTTTTAATTCAATTATTTCATTTTTATAGCATAAAATTGAATAAAACAATAAATTGTTATTAATATTCGATTCATCGTTTACTTAAATTACTTTGTTTAATAAGTTCAATGAATCAAAACTGTTTGAACTGATTCACTGATTCATCGAATCAGAATCTTAATGGCATAATAAAATAAAATTATATATATATATATTATATATTTCATAAGCAAAGCAAAAATAAATATATCGCCCAGCCCTAAAGTGACTGGACGAACAAAAAAACAACCTGGTGTCAAAGGTCATGATGATGATGTCATATAGAGCCAAGTACTCGCTTTATACTGAATCTTGATATAGACGATAATGACGGTTTTGTATTTGAACTTTGATTTCTTATTTCGAAGCCGAAATCTTGAGCTTTTCTTAAGTGTAATTGTTACAGTGACCTGACAGTATTATTTCCTATCGTCCGTCGGCTGGTCGAGGCTCTTGAAGATGTTCGTTTTGTGCAGGTTTTGTTTCGCCCTTCACTCGCTCTCTATCCGCAGCGCCGAGCTCATTTCTATTTTAAAGCGATTTTCTTCAAGTGACATGCATGCATATTGTATTTGCACTTACATCTTTGTTTGTACATTATCGTGTAAGAATGTATATACATATATCTATATACGTTGTTTATATATGTAAAGAGTCGTTTGCGAACACGTTTCTGTGCCAAGCACTATAATGGGAGAGCAATGCAATATGAGGACATTTTAATATAGCGAGATGTTTTATATAAAGAATCCCCGGCTTTGTTGATGACAGCAAAAGAGCTTCTTAAATGGGATCTGATGTCAAATTTTTAAACTGATTTTTCTTGATGCTTCAGCTTACTGAAATCGTAAAGGGAGTGTTGGGTTTGTAAATGACGAGCTCAGGATAGATCAGAGGTTTTTGGGCCACTGAAGGTGTGATTGGGCCAATAGTATCTGGCTGCAGACTTCCACATGCAGGCTCAGAGGGATGCACGCAAAAGGGTAAAGCCGCTGTCTTACTGTACTCCCCCCCCAACTTCCGTTCATATGCAAGCGAATGTGACAGACCGAAAACGCAAGCACATGCAACAAGTTCAAGTTCAAGCTTGGTGAACTCTGACCCACGAAATTGGGATGATTCTTCAAAATTGGGACAATTAGGATGATTCTAAGGGCCCACACCATATTGGAGGGGAGGGAGGGGGCAATCAACCATTTCCCGCTCTTCAATTTTGTCAAGGACATTACCCCCCTCCTCACTTTCGTCCGCGACATCGTCACCACCCTTCTCCCTCCCTGCCCTGGTCTTCGCCTTAATCCACAACAGCCCCCACCAGAATGTTGTCATAGGGTCCATACCGGCCAGTGGCACCCCTGGCGGCATTAGTGACGTCACTGAGTACGTTTACATGGACACCAACGCGTTTAAGACAATGCTCTGATTAAAAGTCGACCATGTAAACTGCGGTTTTTGATGACTGTAATACGACTAAAGTCATAATCGAACTAAACAGAAATGGAAGACGAGGAGTATTTCTATTTTAGTGGCATTGTTGAAGTTCGGTGTAGACATGTAAACACCGCAATCAAAATATTACCGCTTCGTAGTAGCCTACTTTTCGCTAGATTTTGCGACAGGATGCACAATTGGCAGTGGTCAGGCATTTGACGACAAACACACAATAATGGCTTCAAGCAAGAGAGCACAGTTTGGTGTGAGCGGGAAACGATAACTAAAATTCTGGAATAAATGGACATTAAAAAAGGTTAGTGAATGAAATGGCAGAGGTGGCCTGTTGCTTGAGAATTTGTTTCTGTGGTCATCTGTTTGCATGCATACTGTGAGAAATTAACTGCAGTTGAACTTGTCGCAAAATTTAAAACGAAACCTAAATGGGGTTGAGGCGAGGGTGGAGTTCTCCCGTCTCTTCAGTTTTGTCTTTGAATTGATCCGTGTCATGGGGTCCATGTGGCGCACCTGGCGGCATTAGTGACGTCACTGATTACGTTTACATGGACACCTACGATTTTAATATGATTAAGACAATGCTCTGATTAAGAGTCAACCATGTAAACTGCGATTTTTGATGAGTTTAATACGACTAAAGTCACAATCGAACTAAACAGAAATGGAAGACGAGGAGTATTTCTATTTTAGTGGCATTATTGAAGTTCGGTGTAGACATGTAAACACCGCAATCAAAATATTACCGCTTCGTAGTAGCCTACTTTTTGCTAGATTTTTGCGACAGGATGCACAATCGGCAGTGGTCAGGCATTTCACGACAAACACACAATAATGGCTTCAAGCAAGAGAGCACAGTTTGGTGTGAGCGGGAAACGATAACTAAAATTCCGGACATAAATGGACATTAAAAAAGTTAGTGAATGAAATGGCAGAGGTGGCCTGTTGCTTGAGAATTTGTATCCACCGTCATCTGTTTGCATGCATACTTTGAGAAATTAACTGCCGTTGAACTTGTTGCCAAATTAAAAACGAAACCTAAATGGGGTTGAGGCGAGGGTGGGGTTCTCCCTGCTCTTCAGTTTCGTCTTTGAATTGATCCGTGTCATAGGGTCCATGTGGCGCCCCTGGCGGGACGTCACTGATTACGTTTACATGGACACCTACGATTTTAATATGATTAAGACAATACTCTGATTAAGAGTCGACCATGTAAACTGCGATGACCTTAATCAAACTAAAGTGATAATCGAACTAAACAGAAATGGAATTAAGACATGGAGTATTCCTGTTTTAGTGGCATTACTGCAGTGCAATACAGATATGTAAACACTGCAATCCTATTATCCTATTAACGATAAAACTATTATCGTTTTGTAGCACTTTTCGCTACATTTTGCGACAGGACGCACACACGATAGTTGTCAGGAGTTTGACGATAAACAAACAATAATGGCTTCAAGCAAGAGAGCACATTTTGGTGCGAGCGGGAAACAATAACCGTAAAATTCTGGAAGAAATGGATATTAAAAAAAGTTAGCGAATGAAATGCTAGAGGTGGCCCGTTGCTTGAGAATTTGTATCTGCCGTCGTTTGTTTGCATACATATGTATGAGAAATTAACTGCAGTTGAACTTGTCGCAAAATTAAAAACGAAACCTATATGGGGTTGAGGCGTAGGTGGGGTTCTCCCCGCCCTTCAATTTTGTTCGACACCACCTCCACTCCTCCACCCCTCAGTCTTTGATTTGAACTTTGTCAAAGGGTCCGTGGCGATTGGCACCCCTCGCGGCATTAGTTACATCACTGATTATGTTTACATGGACGCCAACGATTTTAGTACACAGACAATAGGCCGATTAGTCAACCATGTAAACTGCGATTTAATTAAGACATGGAGTATTCCTGTTTTAGTGGCATTATTGAAGTGCAGTACAGACATGTAAACACAGCAATCAAACTATTACCGTTTTGTAGTACTTTCACTAGATTTTGAGACTGAACACACACACGGCAGTTGTTAGGCATTTGACAAAAAACAAACGAGAATGGCCTTTAAGCTAGCGAGCACATTTTGGTGCGAGCGGAACACGAAAACTGTCAAATTCTGCAAAAAATGGATATTGAAAAAGTTGGCGAATTAAATTTCAGAGGTGGCCTTTTGCTTGAGAATTTGTACCTGTGGTCTTCTGTTTGTATGCATATGTATGAGAAATTAACTGCAGTTCAAACTGTCGCAATATTAAAAACGAAACCTTAAATCACATATGGTGCGATGACGAACACCAACTGCTGCTGCGTGAAACGCCAGAGAAAACCGTCGTCAAATAATGATGCTAATCGAACGATGTGCTATAACAAGTAAAACAGGAAGATGAAAGGAACATTTAAAGAGCAACTCATGTAAACACAATTTAATTACAGTCTTATTCAGATTAAGGTAAATAATTAGATTACTGATGTCCATGTGAATGTAGTCATTGTGAGGAATGGGGTTAGGTGTACGCATTAAGGACATCGACATGACGTCAGATTGACGTTGTACCCTTATGTCGTGGAATGTTGCATTTTGTTTGGAAATGAAAATCGGGTCAATGTCCAATGTTAGACGTAGCATTTTTGTTGCTTTCAAATGCAACCTAAAAACAACCAAATATCAACCTTTAATGATGTTACAGCTTGTGTGGACGTTACCAATATGTCGTCTATTAGATGTTGGATTTTGGTTGCCATACCTGACGAATAAATGTCATTAATTTACGTCAATATGACGTTAGTTTAAAATGTTGGCTCAACGTTGGATTTTGATCACTTGACAACGCAACCTAAAATCAACCAAATATCAGCGTTATTATTGGACATCAAAATAACGCTGTCCTTAGATGCTGGCGACCTAAATCTAACCTAAAATTAACGTCTTATGATGTTGTGTGTCTGCTGGGCTGGTCTGCAGTCAGATGCTTCTCCATTGGGCTCTGAACTTCATCTGTTTCTCCACTGCCACATTTGTTCACAGATGCAGAAGTGCAAACATCTCACCTGACTGTCCTGTGACTGAACACAGAGCTTTTATTATGTATTTCTACACAGCACTTGTGTTATCTTGTGTTTTTGAAAGGATGCAGAACACTTTACACTGTAAACAATATCAGTTTCGTGATTCACAAGTGCTTGTTTAAGGTTGTGAATTGCATTATAGGATGTTGATTGGTGCTCTGTGGAGTTTTTGGTGTTGAAAATTCAACTCTACGGTTTTAAAAAGTGACTTTATTGACATTTTTAGAGTTTGAAATAGTGTGTAAGAAGTAATGTATAGAGAAATAAGACTGAAAATGCACTGGAGGTGTATTACAAGGTGTTTGTTGCACTATATACAAGACCAACATGACAATATAGAACTTTAAACTATTAAAGATGTTCATAATAGTCACTTTTTTTTAACTTTTCAAGATTAATACTTGTTGGAAGAAAGATCAAGGTCCCTTAATGTGATTAAAAAGCATAAATAAATGAGGAAAATAAGACATTAATCACTAAATTCTACTTTACAGATATGTTTACAGTGTACTGTGGGTCGTTCACAGATCGAGACGAAGATGATGATGATGATATTTGCAGTCTAAAGGTTTAGTGAATCTGATAAAAAAATAATAATAATAATAATAATTTTCTGTCATGCATTTAATTCCAAAGAAAGTTTGTTTTTATTTATTTAATTTTACATTTAAATTTTGCATTATTAAGTTTTCATACTTATTATAATTTTTTTTGGAAGAGTAATTAAACAAATACTTCCATCTTTTTCAGATTCTTATTGTTTTTTTTTATTTTATTTAAATTGTATTTAATTAAATTTTTTTGTAAAGTGTAACAATTAACCAAGTTATTTAAAAATTAATATTTTATTTTTACATTTATTTATTTCATTTTTATTTCAGCAGTGTGTGATAATAAGTACATTATATTTTAATTTATTTCTTTACTCTTTAATTTTTTTATTTAATTACACTTTCATTTTTTTATTATTCGTTTTGTTGATTTCACTAAAACATCAATATTTTATTGTTTCTTTATTTTTTAACCATTTTTTATGAGATTCACTTTATTGAAATAATTATTTAGGGATCTGCTGAAACCTCATACTCCTGGAGATTTACAGCTGATCTTAAAACTGTGTTAAGAATTATTTTCAATAATAAGAAGCTGAACGGATGTCCAACAGAAAGCCACCGGAGATGATCATTTAGGGGTGTTGCTGTAATCTGCGAATGTAAATATAGATATGCTCTGAATATAAGACTACATGTTTAAAAAAGAGAGATTCAAAGCAATATATTTACAGTCTGTTGCTCTAGAAACCACATGTCTTTTCTATAACCTGCATTTTTACAATAATGTTCAGAAGCAAATGTCAATAAAAGATTTATGTTACATCACACGCTCTCTAATGTGAATTGTAGTTTGTTTATTATGGTTTTGACACAGAAGATGAATCCATCACTATATTCTTGAGATCTTTATTTGGAACTAAATTCTGCTGTGTGAAATCAAAACGAAGGCATGCTGATTATTTTTTATCAGAAACCTGTTTAACAATATTGAGCTGTCATCTTCATTCTTGAACATATTTAGATATCAGGACGAGTGGAGTTCAGTATTACTGCTTCAAGTCCAGAAAATATTTTTCTCCAAACAAGAGTTTCGTTGGCCTGAAGGTTTTAATTTCATATGAAGATGTCATGAGATCTGCACAAAATTGCTGAATTGCTGTCAATGGAAATAAGGTAATTTAAATTTTTGTAAATGTTTTTGGAATTTAGTTTTAAAATACTGCAAAAAAAATGTGCCATAGGCCCAAATGAAATCTGCGCATGCAGAATTTCACAGATTTTCCACAGATTTTAGTCCATCATTAATTCTGTTTATTTGAGTAAATGTGTGTAAATCAATATTTACTCAGTTCTTAAGTTAATTTTAATAATATTATTAACTAATATAAAAATGTTCATCTGGTTATTTACAGTGCAGTTTGTACAGTAATATTTTCTGTCTTTTAGTAGATATATGAGAGACCTGCTTTGTTTACCAAATAAAGTGAATCTAATTGGATTTGCAATTTATTCATTCATTCATTTTTTTGTCGGCTTAGTCCCTTTATGAATTCAGGGTCGCCACAGCGGAATGAACCACCAACTTATCTAGCAAGTTTTTTCCGCAGCGGATGCCCTTCCAGCTGCAACCCATCTCTGGGAAACAGATTTGCATTTTAAACATTAAATAAAAGTTTTAAAAGGTATTGTTTTTTATGTCATATATTAAGGTATTAGTTATGATACTCCCTAAATATGCAGCCTATACACTCTCAGAAATAAAGATACAGGAGCTGTCACTGGGGCAGTACCTTTTCAAATGATACACATTTATACTTAAAAAGTCCACAGTGGTACCTCAAAGGTGCATTTAAGTGTCCAAATGTACCTAAAAAGTAACATTGAGGTACCTTTAACTCTACAGGTACAAATATGTTTATTTTAAAAAGGTACTGCCCCAGTGACAGCTCCTATACCTTTATTTCTGAGAGTGTAGGCTAATATTGTATAATTGTTTACTACTGCTCAAGTGCATATCTCTCATTCCCATGTATACATACTTTCAGAGGGCTGGTGTCTTTCTCGAAAGTAAAAGTGTTTTCAACAATTTACCAGTGCCATTTGACACCATTTTACACAATTTTACATAGCCTACCACGATTATCAGTGTTAATAGTGTTAATGAATTGTTCAGTAGTTTGTTTAGTATTTCTATTTGCAGAAATGTAGGTGATGGAAAACACTCGAGATACGACCAACATGTTGGGCACTTGCGATAAATTTTGATCAGGTAAGTGTAGTCAGGTAAGCTGCATTCACTTCCGCGTTGACTCTAGCAACTATCAAATGATTACGTTACGTGTAAGTTTTTAGAAAAGCAAAACCGCATTTCTTTTCGTTTCTTACGGTCATGCGTGTTGTGCAGAAACGAAATACAAGCTGATGATCTAAACGCAGTAAAAGCAACAAAGCAAAATAAAGAAACAATCTAGGGAACACACTGTTATACTAGTCTAGCTAAAAACTACAGAAAACAAGGGGCAAGTTCTCATACACATATAGCGAAATATGAGAGAGGAAACTAGATAATGGAACACGTTGCGAAGACAATACAAAATCACAGTAATTAATAAGGCTACAGAAGCTCGGTAAAGTAAGTTGGTTTAAGGCGCACGCAATTTTAGGGATCATCTGCGAGTTATATCGACAGAACCAAAAACGTACAGAAACGCGAAACAGGACTTTTTTCCCTCGAAGATTCCAGTAAATGGTTAGAGGACAAAACGATTTACTACAGATAACAAGGCTACACTATACGGTATGCTTACATGCGAAGCAGAAAAAAATTCAATATCTTTTGTCATAAGCATACATTACACATCAGCTAAACCACCTAAATGTTATTTTCTCACATTTTCCCTTTATTTATGTAAACATCACACAAATATATAGGAAAATATATTTAAAGTATTTCACCTAGATAAAAGCTTCTCATTCTAATGTGTGCTCACATGTCTGGGAATTAAACTAACTTCACAGCTACTACAAACTTTCCATTAATATATGTACAGTATACAAAATACTTTCGATAAATATTTACGCTAATTTAACCTACTGTAATTTTCTCACTCTAAAGATTCCCAGATGCCAGACAGTCTTGCTGTGTGATTTACTCATATTTTCATTTATATTTTTACAGTACACAAATATTTTTGAAAAATATTTACAGTATAAATCACCCAACCGTAATTTTAAGATTTTAAAGGGTGAAGTACATTCGCAAATGCCTCACTGACTTACTACAGACATCAATGTTGATTTTCCAACCCCACAACTTTGTGTTCAAAATGAATGTTTTCCAATAATTAATTTAACATTTTTAATATTCGACGGTCACTCGTGTTACTGTGAAGTGTACAGAATAGGATAAAGCAGACAAAACAATAATCTTTTAGTGCTTAAACCTGTTTTGTACAGTAATTAGGTTGCTATAAATGACAGTTATCCAACATATTTGTATTTAGAGTGGTAGACAGGGTAAATTCATACCATTTTTAGTCTTAACATTGTTGTTGTTGTTGTTAGGTTCACGCTGATGTCCATCCCTTGAAAATTGGGTGGGATGTACAGTAACAGAAAACAAACATTAGTTATATAAGCATATCAGCAGGCTATATGAATTTTTATCTGTCATTCATTTATAGTCCCTCAAACGTATCCCAGGTAGGCATCCAGGAGGCATCCGAAACAGATGCCCGAGCCACCTCAGCTGATGACTTTCAATGTGGAGGAGCAGCGGCTCAACTCCGAGCTCCTCCCGGGGGACATCTATAATTTGACTGATATAATTCAGAAAATAAATATAAAAAAACACTCACTACTTTTTCCACATATATTTGCTATATCAGTTAATTAATTTGTTTAATAACAGGTTAATGAATGTGATTTATTAAGGAATGAAGTAGTAAATACAATAAACAAGCAAAAACTGACTGCGCCTTCAAAAAGTTCCAAAAGGTGCTTAGACCAAAAAATCCCAAAAGAATGAAATGACTGAAGAAAAGTCACTGTCAAACACCAAAAACCAAAAGGGCACCAACAAGATTGTGACAAGCAGTTAACTGAAATAGGCAAAGGTTTCGATCAAGTGTTGGCCATTATCAGTGCCAAGCAAATAATTGTTTGAGAGTGTGCTGATTTTTTCGTCAGTTATTTCTTCAAGTAATTACAGCTCAATTAAAATACTTGTTTTATGATTGTGTTTAAATGTGTTTCTGACTCATTAGGCCTGAAGACTCACCAGCTACATGAAGCATTATGGAGGACAAAGAAATGTTCAGCAGTGGAGATTTTTTTCCCCAATGCAGGCAAGTCAAATGCAAATGCTGAGATATATTCAAACCCCTGTTTTTTTACAGCCTTGCTCCAGACTAAAATGCAAGTCTGAGCTTTTTTAAATCAAAGGATATGATCTTAAAATATATCAGCGCATTTGTTTTAATTCTTAAGATGGGCACTAGCAAAATATTTTCTAAGGTAAATTACCTAAATGTTCCAATTGATGGCCTAATCCTGTCTGAAACAGTGTCTCTGTTCTTTGGCTTGATTAGGGATGCAATGATCCTTCTGTTGTGTCATGGTATCTCTGTTCGCCATTTATAAACATCTCCACATCAACAAGTGAAATCCACTATACAGAGTATGAATTGTTATCTCTGTTCTGTTGTATTAATCTTAAATTCACAGGTTGAAATCAAGTTCACCAGAGCTCAGCTGTGTGTCCATGAAGAGTGCCCACTCTATGACCCAACCACCAAAACTGAAGGAAAGAGACACATCAGCTGATCTGAGGTAAAGTGGACAGATTTGGTCTCTGCATGGTTTCTGTGTGTTTAGAATTAGTTGTATGTATTGCGTTCTGTAATCTGCTATGTTTTTTCTGTTCATTTAAATTTTTGACCGTAGTCAGAAATCAAGTTCACCAGAGCCCAGCTGTGTGTCCATGAAGAGTGCCCACTCTATGACTCAGCCACCAAAACTGGAGGAAAGGCACACATCAGCTGATCTGAGGTAGAGTTGATTGGTTGGGTGTCTGCATGGTTTCTCTGGGTTTTATAATCAGTTGATATCCACAGCCATATCACCCTGCAGCCCAAGTCCGGTTACTCACTGAAGCTAAGCAGGGCTGAGCCTGGTCAGTACCTGGATGGGAGACCACATGGGAAAACTAGGGTGCTGTTGAAAGTGGTGTTAGTGAGGCCAGCAGGGGGCGCTTAATCTGAGGTCTATGTGAGTCCTAATGACCCAGTAAAAGTAAAGGAGACACTATACTGTCAGTGAGCGCCGTCTTTCGGATGAGACATTGAATCAAGGTCCCAACTCTCTGTGGTCATTAAAAATCCCTAGGCACTTCTCGTAAAGAGTAGGGGTGTTAATTTTCTCCATTGGCCCTTAACCATCAGGACCTCCCAATCGTCCCCATCCACTGAATTGGCTCTATGACTGTCTCTTCAATAGCTGGTGTGTGGTGAGCGCACTGGCGCTATTGTCTTATGGCTGCCATCGCATCATCCAAATGGAGCTGCACACTGGTGGTGGTGTGGAGAGACCCCCCTCTCATGATTGTGAAGCCCTTTGGGTGTATGGCCATACACAATAAATGCGCTATATAAATACACATTACATTACACTATGTATTGCTGTCTCGAATCTGCTATGTTGTCTCTGTTTATTTAAATCTTTGACCATAGACTGAGATCCAGTTCACCAGAGCCCAGCTGTGTGTCCATGAAGAGTGCCCACTCTATGACTCAGCCACCAAAACTGGAGGAAAGACACACATCAGCTGATCTGATGTAAAGTGGACAGATTTGGTCTCTGCGTGGTTGCTCTGTGCTTAAAATCAGTTGTAATATCTGTTATATTGTCTTAAATTTCTTTAATTAAATTTATTACCATAGTGAGAGATCAAACTCACCAGAGCTCAGCTGTGTGTCCATGAAGAGTGCCCACTCTATGACCCAACCACCAAAACTGAAGGAAAGACACACATCAGCTGATCTGAGGTAGAGTGGACAGATTTGGTCTCTGCATGGTTTCTGTGTGTTTAGAATTAGTTGTATGTATTGTGTTCTGTAATCTGTTATGTTGTCTCTATTTAATTTATTTATAACCATAGTCAGAGATCCAGTTCACCAGAGCCCAGCTGTGTGTCCATGAAGAGTGCCCACTCTATGACACAGCCACCAAAACTGGAGGAAAGACACACATCAGCTGATCTGAGGTAAAGTGGACAGATTTGGTCTCTGCGTGGTTGCTCTGTGCTTAAAATCTGTTTTAAGTACTCCTGTCTCAAATCTGTTATATTGTCTTATTTAATTAAATTTATGACCATAGTGAGAGATCAAACTCACTGGAGCCCAGCTGTGTGTCCATGAAGAGTGCCCACTCTATGACCCAACCACCAAAGCTGGAGGAAAGAGACACATCAGCTGATCTGAGGTAGAGTTGATTGGTTGGGTCTCTGTTTAGAATTAGTTGTATGTATTGCTGTATCTAATCTATTATATTGTCTCTATTCAATTCAAATTATAACTGTAGTCAGAGATCAAGCCCAGTGGAGACCCACTCTATGACCCAACCACCAAAACTGGAGGAAGAATTTGGCAAATGTCTGCTTAATATCAAAATGTAAAAATGGGCTGTCAAGCTGAACGCATATAAAGGTGTTAAATAGCTTTTAAAGTAGCTTGAAAATAACTTTGTATCCCTCTAATTGTAGATTGAGTTGCGAGATCTGCTGTGTACAAGAGTTAGGCCCAATAAGTAATAATTCTGTTTTGTCGGAGTTTAAGAGGAGAAAATAATTGGTCATCCAGTCTTAAACATCTTTAATACACTCAGTTTGCTTAGACAGTTCAGACGTCTCATCAGGTTTAGTTGAGATATATAATTGAGGATCATCTGCATAGCAGTGAAAGCTGATCCCATGTCTTTTAATAATGTCTCCCTGGGGTAGCATGTAAATTGTAAACAGCAAAGGGCCTAAATCAACCTCCAGATATCATAAAACACTGAAAAGTCTTCAGACTAACTCATTCAAAATGGACAGTTTGCCAACTGGATGAAACGTATGTGAACTGCTTGAGGTCACTTGTTTGTGTAATTACATCTCAGTTACATGTTTAAAGTTATCGTGCAAACATTTTGAAACTTTGTGCCATTACACATTAAACCATCCATATTAAAAACTTCTGAAACTGAATGCAGATCTGTATTTAGTTAATACATCATTAGCGTTTATAATCACACAACACTTAAGTCTTTAAAAAAATCAAGTCTCAGTCAGTAAACAACTGAGCAGCAGTAGGCATGGCCTTTGCTACAATGTTAACTTATCAATGACTTGCTCTTGAGACGGTCACATGCTAATTTATTTGTCCATATGACCCCATATGCAATTGAACTTGGCTAAATGAATGCATTGTTTATATTATAGGTGATTTTTGAAGTTAACAAACTTGCATTTATTAATTTTGTTTTTGGCTTTGTCCCTTTATTCATCAGGGGTCGCCAAAGTGGACTAAACGGCCTAACAAACTTGCAATACAAATATATTGTACAGAAATCTTTTATATATCAAAGTATAATGAAATGTTTGATTTCTCATAATGCTTTTGAAACTCATTCCACTATAAAACCTAGAAATTCCCAGAGTCTAGCACAGGATTAAGTTCCTACTTAACTGATCCAGAGCTTCAGTCCTAATGAACATCTACTGATCCTCATCACAGTAATTATCTGAACCAGAACAATACTGTAAAACTCCCCAGATTCAACCAGATTACAGCACAAATATATTTATATGTTGTATATATATGTATATTGGCAAATTTAGCCAATTGTTAAAAATAGACTGATGGTCTATTTGAAATGTATCTACATGTTATATCATCTATGAATTATTGTTTTTGATTGATCAATGTTTAATCAATTTAATATCACAGGCAGAGATCAATGCCACCAGAGTCCAGCTGCAAGAAGACTGAGAGAGACACAACAACTGATCTGAGGTACAGTACAACATTTCTATCCTTACAAAAAATCACAGATTCTGAATATGTGAACTTATCCATTCGTTGGACAACTTAAAGGGATAGATCACCTAAAATGAAAATGTACTCACTATTCTCTCACTATCATTAGTTAATACATCAGTGTTTACTTTTTGTTTTGCCTTTTTTTTTTGCCTAAAAGCCCTTTAAAAAACTCTAAACTGTTGTTTTGGTCTGACACTCAGCACAATTTCTTGTATGATATCATTTAACTGTTTTACTATTATTCAAATAATATTACTTGACTAAATTAATTAACTGCTTGTACAGTATGACTTAACTATAGTTAATTTCCCATCATTTTAGATTAAATTTTATTCTGTAATCTAAATGTATCTAATGCATTATTTATTTATTTATTTTCATTTCAAAGGGAATTAAAGCTAAATCTGTTAAGGAAGTTTCAGTGTTTGTCTGAAGGAACAGCAACCCAGGGAGACCCAACACTCCTGAATGAGATCTACACAGAGCTCTACATCACAGAGAGTGACAGCGGAGAGATCAATAATGAGCATGAGGTGAGACAGATTGAGACACAATCCAGAAGAGCAGCAACAGAGGACACATCTATCCAATGCAGAGACATCTTTACACCTTTACCTGGACAAGACAAAGCCATCAGAACTGTGCTGACCAAGGGAGTCGCTGGCATTGGGAAAACAGTCTCTGTGCAGAAGTTCATCGTGGACTGGGCTGAAGAGAAAGAGAATCAGGACATCCAGCTCATATTTCCACTTCCTTTCAGAGAGATCAACCTGATGAAGGACAGAACACTCAGTCTGTCAGATCTGATGTGTGTGTTTTTCCCTGAAACTAAAGAGATGGAAATATCCAGTGAACAATATAAAGTGTTGTTCATCTTTGATGGTCTGGATGAGTGTCGAGTGTCTCTAGAGTTTCACAGCAATGTAAAACTGCATGATGTCTCTGAATCTGCCCCAGTGGACGTGCTGCTGATGAACCTCATTGCAGGGAATCTGCTTCCCTCTGCTCTCATCTGGATCACCTCCAGACCAGCAGCAGCAGATCTCATTCCCACTGAGTTTGTCCATCGAGTGACAGAGGTACGAGGCTTCAATGACCCTCAGAAGGAGGAATACTTCAGGAAGAGAATCAGAGATCAGAGTCTGGCCGATACAATCATCTCACACCTGAAGTCTTCCAGGAGCCTCCACATCATGTGCCACATCCCAGTGTTCTGCTGGATCTCAGCCACGGTTCTGGAGAAGATCTTCAGTCAGGCAGAGAGAGGAGAGATTCCCAAGACTCTCACTCAAATGTACACACACTTCCTGATCATGCAGACCAACATCAGACATGAGAAGGACTATGAGGAAAGGGTCAAGGATGAAGAGATGATCCTCAAACTGGGGAAACTGGCTTTTGAGCAGCTTGTGAAAGGCAACCTGATCTTCTATGAGGAAGACCTGAGCGAGTGTGGCCTTGATGTGACAGAAGCTTCAGTTTACTCAGGATTGTGCACTGAGATCTTCAGAGAGAAGTTTGGGTTGAATCAGAGTAAAGTTTTCTGCTTTGTTCATCTGAGCCTTCAAGAACATCTAGCAGCTCTATATGCTCATCACTCCTTATCAAACCAGAACAGGAACGTGTTTAAACAAACAAAACAAAATCTGTTGTCTAAGGTTTTAAACCAGAAGAAACATGATTCATTATCTGTTCTCCATCAGACAGCTGTGAAAAAGGCTTTACAGAGTGTAAATGGACATCTGGATATTTTCCTGCGTTTTCTTCTGGGTCTCTCACTGGAGTCCAATCAGACTCTTCTACGAGAACTACTGACACAGCCAGGAAGCTGCTCCTACAACAAAGAGAAAACAGTTCAGTACATCAAGCAGAAGATCAGGGAGGTTGACTCTCCAGAGAGATCCATCAATCTGTTCCACTGCCTGAATGAACTGGGTGATCATTCACTGATGAAGGAGATCCAGCATTATCTGAAATCTGGACGAATAAGAGAAACCAAACTTTCCTCTTCTCAGTGGTCAGCTCTGGTTTATGTGTTGCTGACATCAGAGCAGAAGTTAGATGTTTTTGATCTAAAATATTTTATTGCACAAAAAACAACAGCAGATGAAGTTCTTCAGAAGCTGCTGCCTGTGATGAGAGAATCCCGATCAGTTCAGTAAGTCACACAGACAACAATCACTACTATTAAAAAATAAAAAAGTCATATTTATGATTTTAGCATATGGTCTCTTACCAAAACAACAAAAGTGTTACGTTTTCCCACTGCTGTCAGAGAACAGGATAGTGTGAGACTCCAACTTTATACAGCTGGAACCTCTGAAAAAATGTTCTATGGGACACAGTTTCTTTGTAGATTTTTCAGATAGGCGAGCATAACCTCTATTTGCGAGATGTACCACCGTGGAGACCGAGTCCAGCTCCATCCAGACAAAGGAGAAGCTTGCTCTTCTCTCATTTGATCCGAGCCCCCAAGAGGTCAAGGTGCCAGAGCACTATGTCTTTGTGCATAATCAATTGATCCTAAGACTGTGCTAAAGTCAGCCAGCTGAGACAATTGAGAATGCAAATGCCTGCAATCCGGAGTTGCAATAGGACACCGTCAATGAGTTTAAAGATAACCAAAAGAGGCAGAGAAATTGAGGAATTTGTACTGCCCTTTCTGGCCCCCAACTGTGCTAAGGGAAAACCGAGCCATGATAGCATGTGTATACTAAATATAAACTTACATTTCTAAATGGACTTTCCACTTTTTAATGATTTGAACCAATACAAATGATTAAGGAAGAAATTCTTAATGCTATAGAGCATTAAGTAGAGCTGTAGTTTTGCTGATGATGACATGAGACACACAAACGCACAAACAAATATGCATATAGAGACTGTATATAAAGACACAGATTGATTGATATAAAGAAAGAGAGAATTAATAATTTATCATTAACATTAGACTGGCATTATTATTAGGTAAGGAGGAGTCATTGAAAACTGTTTTTAACACTTCAGTTGTATACAAAACCTGGAGAAAGATTGTGAGGAGGTATTATTTGTCTTCACAAATTTGTGGTTTATGTTTTGTAGTTTATTTTTAGAATTTTATAAGATTTGTACTTTTTTAAAATGTACTTTAATAATAACAACAATAATAATAACGATTAATCATGTTTACAGTATGTTCATATAATTGTATATGTTTTTTTGTCATGAGATTCTTTATGTGTCTCTTGCTACCTTTATAGCAAGTTTCAACATAATTTTAAGATATAAAGTTACAGTTCAAGTTGTTGTGTTTCATACTGATGTGATTTGGATATTTATATTCACATAAAATATTCTTACTTTTTTAGTGGTGCTGAATTTAACCTCCTATAACACCACATTGAATTGGTTTTGATCCTGATCTGAGAGACTAAAGAGTGTCATTGTTCTCTACAGGATTAGACGTCGTGGAGTCACAGATAAAGGTTGGGCTGCTCTTGCTTCAGCTCTGCGATCAAACTCTTCACATCTAACAGAACTGAATCTGTCACAGAATATACTAGAAGACTCAGGAATGGAGCTGCTTTCTGATGGACTAAAAGATCCTCATTGTAAACTAAAGAAATTGAGGTAAGATATGTATCGTCTGGTTACCAACGTAACCCAAATTCCCCAAATAGGGAATGGAGACGTGTGACTACGGGAGATCACTAGATGACTAATCACTCTGAAAAGAAAGAAAAAGGGCCAATAAATGCCAAATGAGTTGGCAGAGCTCCGCTCTGCAGGTGTCAGTGATTAGTCATTAGTGAAGTATATCAGTTGGTGTCTGCGGAGCGATCATCAGATTTTTACCAGCTTAAGACCAAACACTCAGCCAACAGCTGGAGACTCAGATGCTGTGACGGTGAAAACGCTCGTCTCGTTGCCTATTCGGGGAACGTGGGTTACATTCGTAACCAGAACGTTCCCCTTCATGGGAACTTCAACGTGCGTCTGGTAACAGACTACGGGAGACTGTATGAAAACGCCACAGCAGCTAAGCCTGTCCCGCTCCTGATCTGTGGTTTGTCAAGCAAAGCATGAACGAACCAGCATCACCAAGAGCGAAACCTTCCAACGTCCCCTAGGCCCTTTAATTACCATTATATGGGAATATTAGAAAAAACTTAATCGGGGATCGTAAATGTGCTTTTACCTAGCTAATATAGACTAGGGATTTTAGAATACGACAGTACGTTGGCAAAGGGTGCCAGTCCCCGAAGGATGAGGATGCTGCGAAGACCACCTGCAACCCAAGAGAGGAAACTTGATGGCAATAGGAACATATGGACTAGCCCTAAGGAGGAGGAGTGCTACATATGATTAGCTTTTTAGAGGGTAGGGAAGACACGGGTCCGCTTAAAAAGGGGAACACACTGTGGCTGAAATAAGCATATGGGGTCACTTTGAGGGACCGCTCATAGCTGGCACCAAACCTCAGCATATGCGTAGACCAACTGGACATCATACTGAGCCAGGCACCCGGCTCCCCTGCTAAGTCGGATGCTTGGGGCCTCAGAGGTATTCTCTAGGGTTCGCCAGCTGGGAATTTACTAACAGAATAGAAATGAGCACTTATCTCTGGGTTAGGGAGCATGGTGCAGCAAGCCTTTTTGACACTAAACCTTATTTCCATCTCTGGATGGCGTGAGAGTAAACCAACCCGAATTCCAGGCACGAATTGCTGACCGAAAATGCCAACGCGAGCAGCAGAGCTGTCTTCATAGACAGAATTTGTGAAGATACCGTATAGAGAGGCTCGAATAGATCTCTCTGCAGACCCGCCAGGACTACAGAGATCCCAATAGGGGATGAGAGGGGGCGGATGGATTTAATCGGTTGATTAGATTATGCTTCCAAGCATGTTGCCATTCACCTCATTATGATAAGTGGAGATGGTAGCCACGTAAATCTTCAGTGTGGAGGGTCACAGCCTGTGCTCCAGCCTATCATAAAGGAAGGATAACACAACGCTAATCTGGCAAGTTCAGGGGTCTTCTCAGCAAGAAGCGCACCACTCAGCGAAGAGACTTTACTTCAGGGCATAGGCATGCCTCGTAGAGGAGGAGAAGCAAACAGGTCAACCTGGGCTTCCCCGAAGTGATCCCATATCAGCTGGACCAAGCCAGGGTGGAGTCTCCAAACCCCTTTGGGACGCTAGCAGCCGTGAGAGCACATCGGCTACATGGTTGAGCTCGTTCGGGATGTAAATGGCACACAGAGATTTCAACAGCGTGTGACTTCAGAGGAGCAGACGGCGAGTGAGCTGAGACATGCAACATGAGCATATACCCCCTACTATGAAACATAGTAAAAGCGGAGAAGAGTGAGAAACACTGCCAAAAGCTCCAGGCAGCTGATGTGCCAATGTAATCAAGGTCTCGTCCATGAACCTGTGATTGCATGCTCGCTGCACACGGCCCCCCAGCTTGTGTTGAAAGCATCTGTTGACATGACAACAAGCCTGGATACTTGTTCTAAGGGCACACCAGCCCGTAAGAAAGCAAGCCCAAGGGCTGAAGTTGCGGCGACAAAGCGGAGTGATGTTCACTCAGTGTGTGCCCACGCGCCATGCCTGTCTCGGGAACTATCAAGAAACCTGCGTAGAAGTGGTGTCGTATAGAGCAATCTGAGCGGCGTGACAGTGGCTGCAGATGCCATATGCCTCAGGAACCTCTGAAAGCTTTTCAGTGGGACCACTGTTTTCCTGTCGAATAAACTAAGACAGCATAGCACCAGTCTGGCGCGCTCCTCCCTGTGCACCCTATCCCTGTGCATAATCAATTGACCCCGAGATAAAACTAGAATGAGCCAATCGTCGAGATAATTTAATATGCGTATGCCTGCGAGCCATAAATTCGCTAGAGCACCCACCGCGAGCTTCGTGAAAACCCACAAAGACAGGGAGAACCAGTAGGGGAGGACTTTGTACTGCCATGCTCGACTTTCGAATGCAAACCGTAGAAAAGAACGGTGGTGTGGAGGAATGGAGACATCACAATATGCTGCAAATGCAGAGTTTGAATTTAATTGAAAAGCTACTGTTAATTAACCGATTTTTACAGTGGAACAAGTCTAAAGATAACATGGCGAAAGTTATTTTGTTTCATATAGATATGTCAATGATGAAAATTAAATAAGTTTCTTCTCATTTATTTTATGGTACTGAAAGGAACCTCCTTAAACACCTTGTAGAGGTTATTGTTCACCTCAGACTAAACCTGTTAACGCTGCTGTGAATAAAATTACTGAGACTGAAGAGTGTCATTGTTCTCCACAGGTTGATTAGGTGTGGAGTTACAGATGAAGGTTGTGCTGCTCTTGCTTCAGCTCTGGGATCAGACTCCACACAACTGACAGAACTGGATCTCTCACTGAATTATCTTGGAGATTCAGGAATGAAGCTGCTCTCTACAGGACTGAAGGATCCTCACTGTAAACTGGAGATACTGTGGTAAGACTATGAATTTCACAACATTTTTCTCCATTTTGCTCCCGTGGTGAGTATAAACAGAATTAAAGCCAAAACTTTTAACATTGTCTTGTCAGATGTTGTTTCAAACTTCTTTTAATTCAAGCTTATTATAGTTATAGCAATACATTATCACACACTGTGTTGAGGTTTTATAATTACTCAGATTTTTAAATGAATATACTCGGGTATCATGTAGATTAGGGCCTCTCAAAATCCGGACTCTAATCCGGATCCGAACCGTGAGGCTATTTAATCCAGACCCGACTCCATTTCGTAATGCAAGACCATGAGTAAAGGATTCAAATGGTGGATTTCCTTTATTGGTAAATGCATTAACCTCTTTGAAATCAACTATTTAGTTGTTTGTATTTTTGTTAAAAAAAATTAAAATAAAAAAAAACAAGCCGAAAAAAAATTCAAGGCGTAATATTCAAAGTTTTCCTGTGTGACTCTGTTGTCATGACACCCAGTAATTATACACAGCTTCACATGCTCGAGCAGGCTAATCATGCGTGAACCTGCTTTAATGGCTTTAACACACCGCAGCAAAGCGATCATTCGAACGGATGAAGATGTTGGTCTCACGGAAAAGAAAACTTGATTAAGAGAATCGACAGTTCAGAGTTGAATGGAAAGTTAAGTATGCGTTTATTTTGCCACAAGCCAGCACAAAGCCATTCTGCTTCATTTGTAAAGAGCCAGTTAGAGTTGTAAAGAGTGGAAACGTGAAATGCCACCATGAAACGAAACATGGACATTTTAAACGGCAGTATTTATAAAATACAGACATAAGGACCACAAAACTATAACACCTAAAATTTTCATTACGCACCTTTTTTTTATTCTTCACCTTTTTTTGGAGACAGGTCTGAATGTAGACCTGGTGGTGTTGGCGTGCATGCAATGCTTTTTAATGCCCACCCCTAACCCTAACCCTCACAGTGATGTCACTAGCTCCACTGAGTGCATTGTGTCTGACCATCACTGAGATATGCAATCTGAACTTGAACATGATGATCATGGCTGCATCCAGATACTATTGTTTGTTTGGCCTACCTTTTGTTGTGTTTTGTACAAAAATGCTCTTATATTAGTGTTTTTGCCACATTTGCACTGTATTTAACGTGTTTAGAATGCAAATGCCACTTTATTTAAAGAAAAATAAATAGTGTTGACTTGTGATGCATGTTATGGATGTTTTTTAAAAACAAGTTATGCAATATCATTTGTTCGAGACGTTTGAATGTAGACATTGAGAAACCCTGATGTAGATTGTCCTGAACAGTCATCAGATTGTTTAAGGTTTTTGTGAGAAGAATTTATTGAAGTTATTATTGTAGCCCAGCTTTTCAGCAGTTCCCTTGAATGCGCTTAAAAAAACTTGAACTTCATCTTCATCATAAGCAAAAGTTTGTATTGATTTCACCAGACCCAATGGTGGGTTGTTTGTAATTTGATGCAAGACAACTTGACTAGACAAAACCTTGCAACATCAACTGCAAATGGCTTTTTTTGTTTGTTTTGTTTGTTTAACAAAGTTCACAAAAATGTACCCACCCTTCAGTGGTAAACAATATTTATGACGTTCTTCTGTTGAACACAAAAGAGAAAGGAAGCTAAAAACCTGTAACCACTGATATATTTGGAAAAACATACTATGGAAGTCAATGGTTACAGGTGAATTGATCCTGTGCTGGCTCAGGTGCATGTTGGTTCCACCCACATATTTGCCTTGATTGACAAAACGGTTACACCTATCGCTTGCCTGGGGCAATCATTTAAAAAGAGTTGGCATTACATTTAAAACCTGTTGGCATTGCGATGACTTGAGTGTGGATCGTTGCTTGCTTTGGTTTTGCTTTGCTTATGTTGTTCCCCAGTTTGTTTACACAAGTTGCACACTGACAAAACATGATATCTTTTTCCATAATTATCTTTTATTGGATTTTTCAGAAACAACCACAAAGAAACACTTACACACACACAAACACACACAACACTTGGCACTGTCTCAGACAAATCCCATACAATGAGTCAATGAACAAATAACAAAGACAACATAGTTTAGCAAGTGATAATAATTTAATAACTTATTAATTTGTTTCATTATTTTGTTGTAATCTTTAGATGAGTTCGATACCTGATACATCTGTTCTAAATTAAGAAGAGTATTCCGTATCTCCAAAAGCCGTTTCTCCCTTTCTTTTTTCGCAGATTTATAGGAAATTATATGCACACGCATAACCGCTTTTAAAGTCTCCCAGAGAGTAGAATCTGTCACCTCTCTATTGTCATTGAATTCTATGAAATCTTTCAGCTTAGTAGTGATATATTCTACAAAGTTATTATCAGCAAGCAATGATGGGTTAAAGCGCCATAAATAGGACTGCCTAGGAAGAGAAAAATCAATGGACATGATAAGGGGACTATGATCATATTAATATACCACTGTACATTGTATCAACAATGTGCGAGATTAATTGTGAATTGACTAAAAGTAATCCATTTTACTGTGAGATTTGTGCACATGCGAATAATAAGAATAATCCTTATCCGTGGTGTGTTGGAGTCTCCAGATGTCCACTAAATGACTGCAGTTAAATAAATTATTTAAAACTTGCACAGACACAAGTCCAGGAGGAGGGCATGTTGACAGTCTATCTAAAAAAGGGTCTAGGTGACAATTAAAATCTACCCCAATAATAATATTAAAAGTATTGTCAACTGGGAGCAAATCGAAAACCTTTAAAAAAAAGTTAGGGTCATCTATGTTTGGACCATAGATGTTCTGGAAAGTCAGAGGGATTGAATTTAAAGTGCCAGAAACTAATATATATCTGCCATGTGGATCAGTAACCATAGAGGAAAACTGAAACGGAATATTTTTCCAAAAGAGAATAGCTACCCCACGCACATGGGATGTGAACGAAGACTGATAAACCTGTGAAACCCAATTACACCGCAACCTGCGCTGTTCGGTGGCTTTGATGTGGGTCTCCTGTAGGAAAACTATGCTGATAACGACTTTAAATGTCTAAATACTTTCTCCCTTTTTATTGTCCCCTATTGTTCCAAGAGGCTAGTTTCACAGCTCCTCCAGTCACAACTCTACCAAAAGACCTCTGCATAAAAGTAAAAGAGGGGGAAAAAAAAGACTCTTACAGTGTAAACACTTTTGAACTATTAGTAGCATCAAAAAAGAAGTCATTGCAAGGAGTGTAGATAGTAAAATAAACACAAACAAAACAACGACACAAAGAACACCCCACCCTAACCTTACAGTGTCTAAATCAACAAGACACAAAAATCCCCGTTCCATCTAAAAAGAAGATGCAGAGTGGGTAGCTGTAATCAAAAACTCACACAAGAAAATGCAAAGGGGAAGACCCCTCTCCAGGTCCTCAGATGTAAAAGCACATTATGCATGTTACCGTTAAAAAAATAAATAATAATAATAAATAAAAACAAAAAAAAAACATTTAAAAAGCATTAGTAAACATGAAATAATTGCTTAAAATACACTGATAAGTCATAATAATACGAATAAATAAATTAATAAATTAATGAAACAAAATATAAATAAATTTATTTAATTTAGATAAATAAAAAAATAATAATTAAAAAGACAAAGTAAATAGTAATAATCAAAGGAGCAGAATCAAACCATATTATGATCTCAGTGACAAATATCAAAACAGTGTGTGCATGGAATACACGCTGGAGGTAGTAGTACGAACCGTCTACAGTTGGGGAGACTTTATGCCAAGTGGTGCTCGCTGCAGAGCCATTTGAGGAGAGCTGAGCTCCAGCGAGGGGGAGCTTAAGTTTGAGCTCCACCTATTTTGCACTTCTTCTACGAGTGATGTCACTGGGGGTAGGGTTAGGGGTGGGGTTGGTGTACGCATTAAAACAGCTTACAGGAGGAGGAGCAACAGCTCATGCTCCCCCTCGCTGGAGCTCAGCTTTCCTCAAATGGCTCTGCAGCGAGAACCCTCTCCTTTATGCTTCTCCTTTGGGCCGCTCTGAGTGCCCACTGAACACTTGCACGTATCTCGCTGCTTTTGCCGGGTCATCAAAAGTCACCGGTGCCTCCAATCCATACCCGATAGATTTGCAGCCTGGCCGGGTACCGTGAAAACTTCATGCCAGGTTTACACTTCAGCAGTGTAATCGGGAAAATTGAAGACCCGTTTGCCTTTAAATTCCACCGACTGCATTCTCCAACGACGCACAATCAGCTCTTTTTCTTGGAAATTATGGATGCGTGCCAGAATAGTATGCGGCATTTCACCAGCAGCTGGCTTTGGGTGAAGAGAGCGATGAGCTCGGTCAACTTTGATTGATCAATAAAAAAAATTTTAAAAAACCTCAGTAAAAGAACAACTTTGCAGAGGACTTGGAGAGAAGCCCCAACCGAACACGTCTCCTAAGCATGCGCACTAGCATTAGCTAACAATTTTTGTTTGTTGTGCATTAAACATTTCTTTCTGATTGTGAAGTTGCTGCTTCTCTGTGATGTACATCCTAACCTCAGAGACTGAAGAGTGTCTTTGTTCTTTACAGGTTGGAGGAGTGTGGAGTCAGAGATGAAGGTTGTGCTGCTCTTGCTTCAGCTCTGAGATCAGACTCCTCACACCTCACAGCACTGAATCTGAGTAAAAATATATTAAGAGACTCAGGAGTGAAGCTGCTCTCTGATGGACTGAAGGATCTTGAATGTAAATTGGAAATACTGTGGTAAGAGTACATTATCATGTCAATGTAATCCTTAATTTCACTTTTATATATTACAAGCAAAAATAACAATAAAAATAATTAAGGCTAAAAGAATTGGCCTGCCTTGTAAGTGACGAGGATGGGTAATTATTATGAGATTCTTTCTAGTGTTTCTAACATATTCTTCATAACAGAATATAATACATGACTGCATGATGCACAGCTTTTACAGCTGTTTTATTTCATACAGGTGTGTTGAGGTGTGTTTTTGTTTATAGAAATGAACTTCCTCAAAGCCCATGTAGAAGGGGTTCTGCATATTAGAATGAACCTGTTAATCAAGAGTGTCAATGTTCTGTGCAGGTTGATTATGTGTCAAGTCACAGATGAAGGTTGTGCTGCTCTTGCTTCAGCTCTGACATCAAACTCTTCACACCTGGGAGAACTAAATCTGACTAGAAATAAACTAGGAGACTCAGGAGTGAAGCTGCTCTCTGATGGACTGAAGGATCCTCACTGTAAATTGAAGAAATTGGGGTAAGATATATTAGTAAAACCTGATATATAAGATGTCAGCATCCTCTATTTTCCTTCAATGAATAACAATCAAAATTAGGATGAAGTCATTTAACTGGAGTATGTTTTTCAGTCTGTCATAAAAATGCAGAAAATCAGTGAGTTTAGAATTTAGAAATGTGTTTATTTGAGCACACACACTTTGCATTTGTGATGACACCTACTTGCATTTAAACGGGGGGGGGGGAGGAGATATTAACACACATAGAATAAAATGCTTCTTTTGTTTGATAGCAGAGGTTTAGTTCTTTGGTTTGATATACAAGAAAATTCAGAAGGTCATGATTCACACTAGTTAAAGGGCCATGACACCCCCACTTTCGGTTAAAGTCTACTTCAGAATTTGTTCAAAAGATGCATGATTAATGGGCGTGGAGCTCCGCGAGCACAGGGTAGGAGTGGGCGTGGCCAGCAGGGGAAAAGGGGAGCGAACAACTGTTGTTGACAGTTAGCTCACAAACTGAGACACAAACCGTGAGGAGACGCATGAGTTTTTAGTTTACAAAGTTAAAATGCAAAGAAATAAACAGTGATTTAATGCCCTGCTACATTTGTTATTCGTAATTTCATATACACATAACCACAATTTATATCATAATAAAGATAAGTGTGTTCATGTAAACACTATAAATGAGGATTCTCCCTCGATCCCCGTGTTTAAAATTATAGATCTGAATGCAGACTCAGTGCTGCAGGTCTCCTGACCTGCCTATTTTAACCATTAGTCCTGCTGGTAATATAGAGGATTTAGGCAAACACAGCAGCACAGTGATGTGTCTGAATGTAAACGAACTCCTGATAAAAGACAGCGTCCGCCATTCTTCAATTCTCGTACTGCTCTCCCAACAAAAATGCTTGCAGCACACACACAGCTTTGCTGTATGATCGGCCCTGACAGGATCGCGGGGAAAAACATGCAACAAACCCCGTGGATCATGGAAACAAACACATACAAGCCTTCATGAACGGCTACTGCGTGCCGTGGGTCCACGTCTCACAGCTTGCTTGAAACTGGCAGGTCTGCCTTGCCTTCGGAAAGCACGTGCTCTCATGAATAATTAAGCAGCCGGCTCTTCTCATAGGATAAGAAAACTCCGCTATGAATAATTATGAGAAACCGACGCGTCATCATTGCACTTGCAGTTCTGCGATACGTCGCCGATTTTGATCCCGCCCCAAAAATCATTTTAAACCCGGAAGCTGAAATTAGCTGACAAAAGCTCAAAATTATCCAGTTTCCCCCACAATTAAAGCTGACAGGTGCTAACATTGCCTTAACTGATGCTCAACACACACACATCTGTTAATTTATAAGAAAAAAGTTCTCCAGGGTGTCCTGAACCTTTAAATAGTAACTTTATATAGCTTTATTTTACATTCTTGGGGGATACAAAACACAGACATTTCAGCACAATGGGCTCTATCATACACCCGGCGCAATGTGGCGCAAGGCGTGATGCAATTGTTGTTTGCTAGTTTCATCTTGATGCAAGAGTCGATTTGACGTTTTGCGCCATGCCGTTTTAAATAGCAAATGCAATTGTGCTCAAATGTGCGCCCATAGGCGTTCTGGTCTAAAAAAGGAAGCATGTTGAGGCGCATTGCTGGCACGTTGCTATTTTGAGGAGCTAAAATACACTGTTCAATAGACCAGCTAAAAGGAGGTCTAAAGCCCAGCGCAGAGTGCGTTAATTGTAAACCTCGCTTACACATTGTTTTAAGGTGCAGTAGGTGATCTGCCAAAATGCGAACCGCTTAGCATATTATCTTTGGACAGCGGGGAGGGACTGTGATTCAAAGCCACACCCCCTGAAATTGCAAGCGCACGCACCGCTTCACAACAGCAGACAGACAACCCACTAGTTTATGTCATTCGCCAGTTAGTTAGTGCCAGCGCCGTGCAGGAATTACATTTATTATACTTAGCCACACTTACATGCTATTTCAGAGCGAATATTCAGAGTAGCGGTAAGCAGTATAGGAAGGCTGTCATTGTTCAAAAATGACCCAATGTGAATATAAAAGCAAATTCAGCTCAATAAAGCAGATTAGGCAGAATAGCGCTATTTACTGATGTTTTGTTATTAAACTAAATATAAATCTACATTATAGATGCTGTAAAAGGACCTTATGAAACTGAGAATAATCACATCAATCTTTCAGCAGGAGATTTCAGTGGCTGAACAACACGTCTTTGCATGTAAGCCGTTTATAACAGAACACAATCTAACATAAGCTGCTTAGCCTGACTAAAATAGTTTTAAAACAGAACATTACCTGTCTAACAGTAATACTCCAGCCATGGTGTCGTCCTTCTTCCAGCGTGCTAAAGTAACTCCAATATTGATTCAGGTTTTTAAAAGTTTCAATTCAGCATTTGATTTCTCCCGGTTTGTCTCGTGACCGCGCGGCGCTTATGCAGACGGGCATGCGCGAATGGCTAATCTGCATGAACAGAAGTCCGAATCTACATTTGCTGACAGACAGTCTGACTTGCTAATCGGAATTTTGGGAGATGTTGGACTCTATTTAATTGGATGAACATTTTTTAGTTTTATGCCTTACCCAGATTTTAAAAATACTTATAAACACATTTAGATCATTTACTGTAATCATTACTATTGGACTGTGAAGAGACTTTCAACCAGCACAACAAAACATGTTTCTGAAGACAATCACCTACTGCACATTTAATACACACAGGATGTTCAGCAAATAAAATAACAAATATTTTAGCAAATATCTTTAGAAATGAAAAAGAATTAAAGGATTAAATTATTACAAAACATATTATTTTCTAGCCTACATAATTATAAAAACCATACTTTCATGTCTTCTTCATCTCGGGAGGCTTTTTCAGTTCATTCATAATAATTTGCTTTTGTATAATGTTATTATTATTAGCAGTATCATTTATTAAATGCATATTTATATTTGTTTTATTAAATCCAAACTTAGATTTGTCCACCTGTCAGGTTTTAGACCATATGGGGCACAGCTTGTGTATTTGGATGTAACTTAGTTGTTTAAACACACTTCGTTATTATTGTTTATTTATTTGTTTGCTGGAAATTAGAACTGAATTTAGAAATCTTTGCGCTTAATAAACAAAATTAATTATGTATAGGCTAATGGATGTCTGTGCGAACATCATGTTTCCTTATCCACGAGAGTGAAACTGAAAGTAAAGAGTTCTTATTCTCCCATTGCAGATGTTGTGTTTATCTGTTTTCTCGCTAGTGAAGTGTTCAGTTTTTCCACTTACAAAGTCGCCAGGTAAATAGCAAATGCTCTTATGGCGTGACACAACTGGCTCTTAAAGGGAATGGGAGATGAGACTTTGATTGGTTTATTCTCAAAACACACCTATAACTCATTAAGAGAATAAACTCAAACCTTTTAGACCATGCGCCACGGCGCAAAGCAAATTTTCCCGTCCTTAAAATAGCAAAAGTGGATTCTGACACGCCCTGCGTTTGCGTTTGCGCCCTGCGCTTTGCACTTTGCACCTGGATCGTCAAAATAGAACCCAATGTCTTCCTCAGTGCGTGACACAATCTTTCACTCCACCCTCTTATTCCACAATCACATTATGGGCTCTATTTTAATGGTCCA